CTCTTAAAGAAAACAATGATATGTTAAATTTGAAAAACAATAATTTAAAATTGGATATTGCTAACTTGACTTATGACAAAATTAATATCATGTTAGAAGTAGAGAACATAAAAAATGATACTGCTTCTTTTATAAATGACTATTTATGTTCCACTTCAAATGATACTGCTTCTTTTATAAATGACTATTTATGTTCCACTTCTAATAAAAATGCATATGTGCCTAATAATGATTTGAATCTTGTGAATAAACGACTATTTATGTTCCACTTCTAATAAAAATGCATATGTGCCTAATAATGATTTGAATCTTGTGAATAAACGCATTTCATCTTTAGATTCAACCTTGAAAATATGCATTAATAATCATAAGAAGCTTATGAATATGTGTGCCAAGTCCTGTGCAAACAAGTCATCATCCACTCATTATGCACACATATATAGCAAAGTTTACAAGTGTTCTATTTGCGATCGTAAAGGTCATTTAGCTAAATTTTGTTATGATGCACACAAACATAAGAATTCTAATGTTCCTTGTGCATCTCATGTAGTTTCATCATCATGTACACATACACATTCACATGCTCATTCTCACAAAGTTCATCATAAGTATGCTAATGTGTTTAAATGTGATCATTGTGGTCGTTTTGGCCATTTGGCAAAGTTTTGCTTTGATTTAAAAAAGAATTCTAGTTTGCCAAATGTTTCTAGTAGACCACATGTTTATAAATGTAATGTTTGTGGTAGATTTGGCCACTTAGGAAAGTTTTGTTTTGATAATGTTTCACATTTACAAAAAGCTTCAAATAATTTACATTTGTTTGCAAATGTTCCACGTGCACCTTTTAATGGTCAACATAAGCAAATTCTTCCTTTCCATTGTACATATTACAATCAGAATGGTCATTTGAGTGATTATTGCTATGACCGATCCCGTGTACCACATATGCCCAAGAGGGTTCATAACCCTAGGGCTTCGAACTTAAAAGATAGGGGTCATGTCCCTAAATCTATTAGTACCAAGAATTTTTGGGTACCAAAATAAATTTAATTTTTAAAACCAAGTACCTTAGTGATTTTTATTTTTTCTTTGTATTGGTTTTGAAAATTATGCTTTGAAATCTTTGAACATGAAAATAATTTTTCTTTGATCAATTCTTTTGTTTTCATGACCATAAGTTTCAATTTTAAATGAGAGGTTTGCAGTTATATATCCTCCGGGTTTATTGGGTGTTTATTCCCAAATCTTGTTTACCGGATGCTAAAATATTTATATGGGTTGATACCAAATCTTGTTTACCGGATGCTAAAATATTTATATGGGTTGATACTAGCTCAAGAGCTAGATATAATTGTCTCTCTTGATTTTTGAAAATCAATGATGATTTGGTTTTATGTTCTTATATGATTTACTTGTGATTTATGATTTTATTGGTTGATTTGTTTTTATTTGAAAACTTTTAACATGATTCTCATGTCTTCTTTCTTGTGATTTCATAAATCTATTTTATACATTATTTTTATGTTTGTACATTTGAGACACTTTTTCATATTGATATATTTATATGTATTCTCATTATCCTCTTGTATGTGAGTGATTTTTAGCATATTTTTTATGCTTGCTCACATATTTTCCATGATCTTTTATTGCATAAATTCTATATGGTATTTTGATAGGGGGAGCAATCCCTATTTTTTTTATACTCACTCATGCATATTGAAAGGGGGAGCTTTCGTTCTCTTCCTTCTTTTGTTTTCCCCTTTTTGATGTTGTCAAAGGGAGAGAAATATTGTGACTATAGCCCTTCTTATTTATATGCATGATATATTCTAATTTATATATTCATTTCTTTTCATGCATATATCCTTTTTTTAAATTGTTTGTCATCATCAAAAAGGGGGAGATTGTTGACCTTCTTGTTTTGATGATGATTTACAAATAATTTACATCTAATATTATTTGTCTAGTGTTTGTGTTTTATATTTATTCTAGACAAACAATATATTGGAGGATGGATGGAATTGCGCCATGAAGATCATATCTAATGGAGGTTGGCGGAATTATGGAGTGAAACCTATACAATTCAAATTCAAGATCCAAGTTCAAGCTTCATCCGCAAGTGTACCAAGATAGAGCTTCGTTAAAGATCACAAGCTTGGGTATAATTAGTTTATAAGTTTATATTATGTGTGTTAAGTACTTTAAACTCAATATCATATACATACACATTTTATTGGTATATATATATATATACACACACACACACACACACACACACACACACACACACACACACACACACTTTGGCTTTTTGTTTATCCACAACCAAAGTTTTTACTAGCATATAAATAAATATTTATATTCATACATGTTTGTTTTTAAGTGGATAAATTGGTTTGGTTTAGTTTCATAGATATGAAACAAATATATATTCATATTCATACTCATATGTTTCATATTCTATTGTATTTATGAAAATACTATATTCATTGTTTATAGACTTCATAACAATAGTTTTATTGTATTTATGAAAATACTATATTCATTGTTTATAGACTTCATAACAATAGTTTACATCTTTCTTCAACTCTATAAAACCATTTTGTATTATTTCAAAACATGGTTAAACTAAAATATCAAAACTCATATGTTTACATTTTTATGTTTTGGACTATTTTGCAAAATAATGATATTTTTCATTTGGGAGGTTTTTTTGAAAACTAAATTTTGTAGCATGTTTATTATCATGTCTACAATCATTTCCCAAAGTTTCATTACTTTTGGACATCATTTGTTATTTTTAACAATTTTCCAAAAGTCAGAAAAATACTTTCAAAACCTGTATTTTCATATATCAGTTTGCGGTCGACCGTCACGGTCAACCACGCCTATGTTTTTCCCTCAGGAGCCAGCAAAAACTTTCACGATCGACCGTCTGCTCGAGAACTCTTGCGGTCGACCACCACGGTCGACCGTAGCCTTTTTTTTATCGTTTTCTAAGTTTTGATGACCTTCGCGGTCGACCGCGAAAAAACTCACGATCGACCGCCGATCGCCCAACGATCATTTTGGTACAGAATCAGATTTCTGATTCTTGGGCTTTTTGGTCTTTTCCTTTGGGGTTTTTGGCTGAGATTTTGGGAGGCTATATATACCCCTTTTCTCTCATCTTTCATGATCAACCAAGAAAGTTTTTAAACAAGTTTAAGGGTGTTTAATTTTGGTTTAAGTTTAGTTTATAAGAGTTTGTTTGTGAAAAAATTTTCACAAGAGCAAGTGGAGATCATCTTTTGGTGTTTGAGTATTCAATCTTCTCCCTCTCTCTTGTTATCTATAGAGAAGTTTTTTAAACTCAATTTCTAGCTTTGTATTTACATTAGTTATTGACTATCATCTCTATAAGCTAGATTTTCATAATTGAGTTTAGTTCAATTTTGTTTTATTGAATCTCATTGTTACACACACCCACTTGAGCTTTTAGTATTTACATACATAGTATATTGGGGTCGTGAGAGATTGTAACAATTGAGTATATTGGGGTCGTGAGAGATTGTAACAATTGAGTTGTGCTTAATTGAGTTCTCATTCATGTTAGAGAATATTTTATTGTAGTTACATTGTTAGTGTTGTAAAGTTTTCGGTGAGCTAGAAAACCGAGTGTGATGAGTGAATGTTGATCGGTGAACGTTGAAAACCGACATTATGAGTGTTTGTAAACGTTGATTGGTGAACGTTAAAAACCGACATTGTGAGGTGTAAACGTTATTCGGGTGAGCGTAGAAAACCCGGTTGTGTTAGTGGATTTCTCCTCGGGAGTGGGGAGCGGAGACGTAGGACAGAAGGTCCGAACTCCGTGATCATTTGATTGTGTTTGTGTGTGCTTTGGCGTTCATTTATATTTGTGCTCATTGCTCATATCCTCATTGTCTCATTAGTTAGTTTGTCCACTTCTTTGTTTACATTATTTACCTTTATGTTGTTTATATATCCTTGCTCATATATTTGTAATATCTCATTGCTAGGATATATTCATTAGTTCATATTGCCTATCCTAGCTCATGTATCTTGTTGTATTTTATACTTGCTAGGATAACTTGTTAATTGGTTTTAATTGGTATAAAATCGGATTAGATTAGCATAAGACCCTAATCACCCCCCAACCCCCCCTCTCTAGGGTCTAACACTAATCATGATAGATTTCTAACTCTATCTAATTCTCATGAAGTTATATAAATAATCAAAGACACAATCCTAACAACAACCGCACATCAGGCTAAGCAAATATTGGTAGACACAAAATCACATATAAATGGCTACGAAATTCTTAAAACAAATATTTTTCAAGAACTTCATATTGTACTGAAAAATATAATTGCTAAGCAGCTTTTTGGCTATAAACTATTACGTCGAGGTTCAAACATAAAAACTTCACATGAAAAGGAAAAATGAGCGGTTTATATTCTTTAAGCCTCTCCAATAAGTTTAGAGTTTAGATGTTTGTTTTTTCTTTTTTCTTTTTCCAACTTCTTTGCTAAAAGCAAAAATAATATACCTGTAAATTAATAAATGTACCAAACTATTTGCAAAACTAAATTTCAAATTTATAAGATTTTTAAAATTTCTAAAATTAGTTTGAACTCTGCAAAATTAATTCTCAACAGTTTGAACTTTGGAAATTATTGAAACGCGGAATTGTGATCGGGAATTGTGACTATGACCAGTATAATGTTGCGGAGTCGTGGGGCGTTCTCAAAAGAATTGTCTTAGTTTATATAATAATCTCACAGAGAAGTTCACACTAAGCTCCCAATTTTCTTCCTCCCGTAACAATCATAAACAAGGTCATCCAACTTTGATTAAAAAATATGAGGC